ATGTATAATAACCAAAAATTGAAAACCATCTCAATATCAACAATGAGAGGATGGTTAAATAAATTATAGGGCATAACTACAATGGAATATTATGAAGTCTTTAAAGATCATGTTTTCAAAGAATATATAAAGACATGAAAAATGTTCATAACATAGAGTTAGATTTTTTTTAAAAAAAGAAAACAAGTTTCAAATATGTGAAGGGTTGATGAGTGGAGGAGGGAGTCAACTTATTCCGAGTGGCTTTGGGGGAAGAGACAGAAGGGGCGCCTAGAAATAAAGCCATCTAGAAACATATTTAAGGAGAATATGAAAGATGTTTCTAATGGTTATGGTTTCCCAAAGTTGTGAAAGATTTCCTGGGTAGGTAATGATCTCCCTGATGTAGGGGGAATACAAACCAAGACTGGGCAGCCACCAAACGAGGACAATGTAAAAGAGGCTCAGGCACCAACTCTGATACTATAATGCTGTGCCAATAGCTGTTGCATTCCAACCACTCATCTGAGCACGGCCAGTGTTGGAGAAGTCTGACAGGAGCAGTAAGAAGAATAAAGGCATGGCCAGGGCATGTAGAAAGTCTGATCAGTCATAAAATTACCTGAGCGACAGCCGATGGATCCCCCGAGGTGCTGTCCTGGGCCACGTTTTATTGAAGCATGGCTCCTCCTCACTCAGCCCATGTGGGTCAGGCTCTGGCCTAATTTTCAAGGCTTCCAAATGAGATTTTCTTTTTCTCTTCCTAAGTGGCCTGTTTGTTTTTGTTTTGAGATGGAGTCTCACTCTGTGGCCCAGGCTGAATGCAGCAGCGTAATCTCGGTTCACTGCAACCTCTGCCTTCCAGGTTCAAGACATTCTCCTACCTCAGCCTCCTGAGTAGCTGGGATTACGGGCACTCACCAACACACCCAGCTCATTTTTGTATTTTTAGTAGAAACAGAGTTTTATCATGTCGGCCTGGCTGGTCTGAAACTCCTTACCTCAAGTGATCCTCCCACCTCATCCTCCCAAAGTGCTGCGATTACAAGAGTGAGCCACCACACCTGGCCCCTAAGTGGCCTGTTTTGCATGGGTGATCCTTACACCCAGACACCTCTTCCTGTTCACTTGGAGCCTCATTCACCTTTTCAGTAGGTAGAGTTATGGTCTCTGAAGAGACATGAGACACAGAGAAGGAGGGACAGCGTGCGCTGTGATAACTGATGCCCCTCCTCAAGAGTGAGGCACAATGCTCTACCTCATCAATAGCTGTAGATCAAGACTATTCTATCTATGGGGACTTCAGAAAACATTTAGGTTGAGAAGCAACTTCAGTTTAATGACAAGCCACTGGGAAAGGATGGCGAAGTTACCTTGGAAATGACTAATGAGAAGAGATTTATGTGCAGCAAAGAGAAACCTAAAGAGCTGAGCTTTTAGAAGGTCTAAGGAGGGAGACCTACTGCTCAGATCCTGTCACCGATCTTTCTAATGCCATTCTCTAAGGAACCAGGTCCCCAGAGAAATGGCTGATTCTACGGCTGGGATAGTGAATACACAGGATGATCCTGGACCATCTTGTGGTGGCAGCAAGTAAGGAATGTTCGAAAAATAAAAGGATGGGGCATGTCAAAGGGAGACAGGAGCCAACCGAAAGAGCCTGCAATGGCCAAAGCTGGAACAATCTGAGCAACTGAATAAATACTGTAATTTATTATTATAACCCAGAACATAAAAGTAAATATCCATGAATCCATATTAATATAAGTAAATGATTGGATAAATGAATAAATGGAAAAGAAGAGACAAATCTCCTAGGCAAAAAAAAGAAAAATTCCAAATAATTTATGTAGATACTTTGCCCTCAATGAGGTGGTTAATGTAACTCCTCACATCTTAAGTGTGTGCTGCAAATAGTGACTTCCTTCCAAAGAATACAGTATGGGAAGGGAGAAGAGGAGTAACTGCATGGTGGAGAAGTCCAGCAAACACCTCAGCCAGGTGTTCAAGGTCATCACCAGCACACTAAGTCACGTGGATTGCATGTGCCCTTGATAAGATGCAATGAAATGGCACTTTACCTGTGGTCTTCCTTCCCAAATCCCATCACCCAGGTCTAACCATAAGACAAATCATAAGATAAAAACATCAGACAAATCCTAACTGAGGTACCTTCTATGAAATCCCTGAACCGTGCTCCTCAGCACTGCCAAGGTCACCAAAAACAAGGAAGGTCTAAGAAACTGTCACAGAGGTGAGGAGCCCAAGGAGACACACGGACTAAATGTCATGGGGTGTCAGGAATGGGACTGTGGAACAGACAAGGAACATGGATAAAAACAAAGGAAATATGAATAAAGTGTCAACTTTAATTAATAATAATGTGTGAATATTATGGTGTCAATTATGACAAAGGTAGCATTCTAAAATAAAATATTAACAATAGAGGAAATTGGGATGGAGGATTTGGGAACTCTCTGTACTATCTTCTAGTTTTTTTTTTAGTAAATCTAAAAGTATCTTATAATGAAAAGGTGTTTTTTTTCTTTTCCTTTTTTTCTTTTTTGAGATGCAGTCTGGCTCTGTCACCCAGGCTGGAGTGCAATGGTGTGATCTTGACTCACTGCAGCCTCCACCTCCCAAGTTCAAGAGATTCTCCTGTCTCAACCTCCTGAGTAGCTGAGATTGCAGCCATGTGCCACCACATCTGGCTAATTTTTATATTTTAGAGATGAGATTTCACCATGTTGGCCAGGCTGGTCTCAAACTCCTGACCTCAAATGATCCACCTGCTTCAGCCTCCCAAAGTGCCAGGATTACAGGTGTGAGCCATGTAATCATGCCTGCCTTCAAACGTTTATTTATTTTTTTTAAGTCTAAGAAGGAAACCAGGGAGGCTTTGACCTGGGTTGACCTATGTAAGCATTTTGTAGAAATTTATTGAGGCTAAATGCTCTGAGAAAGAAACAAATTGGATGAATTTCCATCATTGGGAAACCAGAGGAAACAACCCAACAGGCCAGGACTCTTTGGGGAGAGCCGACTTCATCCTGAACCTAAGGTTCTTGCCGGTTCCTGCCAGAAATGCTCCGGCCAACTCAAGCCTCCAAATCTGAAAGGGATTGTATGCCTGGTTGAGGGTAAAACAAGCTGGAGCCAAGATCAGAGGCTTTGCGTTAAGCAAGGCAAAGCTAACCTCTGAAACCCTGCTGCATGCCCGCCATTTGAAAGTCGTGCTATTTTCTATAGTCTCCAACTCCTGGACTCACTCACCTGGAATAAAGCAGTTCTTTCATTTTTAACGAACAGCTGAGCAAGTCGACGGCTTATACACCTTCCAACAGAGTAAATGCAGATACACACCAGGAGCTGGGAGCAAGGTTGCAGGTCCATGAGGCCCCATCTGGAGTGCAAACAGGCACATCTTCTTTCCACAATCTTAAATTTGTGTTTCTTGGAAACAGAGACAGTGGAAGCCAAAGAGGATGGTTTGGCGGTGTGGCTGGCTTCTGCCATCTGAGAAAGTCCCAGTGACAAATGCAAGGCTGGGAAGCCCAGCACATCCCTTTTTTAGTAATCAGAAAATTGTACTTAAAAGGGGCAGAGCATTGCTTCTTGTGGCTTGGAACACTGTGTGCTTGGCCCTTGCCTCCTGGGTTCCTGTTGCTCATGTATCCAGCCCTGATTCCCAGCTCTGTAATCTACCAGACCTTGCACTTAACTTACACCCCAAACCTTGCTCCTTTCCAGGCTTTTCTGGGATGTCTGGCTCCTTCAGCCAAGAGGGCGCCCTCAAACTGTGCCCACTTATTTCCCCCACTTGCTCACAACCCAAGGAAAAGTAGTAAAGTTTGGGGGGTCTTATGATTAAAAAATTGGCTGGGTGATGTTTTATGCATGCATCTGTTATGCTAAAATAACCATCTTTTCTAACCAGGCCCACCTGCTGTCTTTTTCAATTTTAAGTATTTCTAAGTAGCAATCAAATCAGTATAATTTGTTCTTTATCTCGGCAAAACCATTGTGAAAGAAAAATGTGACCATTATGTTACATCAGGGAAAAATACAAGCCCTTTATTTGCAGCCTTCTCTATATTCTATCAGATCTCACAGTTGTCATTATGCCAGTTGTATTTAATGTTGTTCAAATGAACAGAGCTTTCTTTAATCACTACAGCCTTCTTTCCCCTAAATGCTTTTTCCAAGGTTATGGTTTTCAGAGATAAATACATAAATACCAATGTTATGAATACGTTAAGGGTATCCAAGAGACAGCTTTCGGGATTTGTAGCAAGAACCTGCTGTCATTGGAGTTACACAATAGCTGGCTGATGTTTTGAGTATGAAGTTACTGGGTATTAGGAGAAGGCCTGATACCCTGCAAAGAGGTGTAAGGCTATTTTGAGCCGATCACAATAGACCACTCAGCAAATGCTGACTTTATAAATCTGGTATCAGGATCCTCACTGCTAATAACCAAAGCCAGCAAGTCCAGAGCTGCAGCCACCTGCCATGTGGAGTCAGGTCTTGGAGATCTGCAGGTTTTCAGACCACACCTGCAGGCAGCGTCCTTCATGCCCACCTGCCACCAAAGGCAGGCGGGCATGAAGACTGAGGTCAGGCTTTTAGATCTAAGAAAAATCATCTGATACAAAATACTTTATTTGCAAATTAGAAACCAGAGGTATAAAGAGGTAAAATGACTTGCCCAGACACATATGTGCAGTTAGCAGCAGAGCTAGAACTAGAACCCGAGTCTGCTAAACATATATTTTTGCTTTACTGCCAATTTGAGTACTCGTGCTCTCTAGTAAACATTACATGGGGTGAATCCAACTTATAAGAATCCTACATGTATTCATTCAGATGTTCATTTAGGAAATTTTTACTCTTTGCTAAGATGCTGAGAATAATAATTGTTGTTATCAACAGCTAATATTTTTGAGTACCCGCCACCATCCTAAGCACTTAATGTAAATTAACTTGTTTATCTCTCAGAGTAACCCCAAGTGGTAGGCACTATTCAGATCCCCATTTTACAAAAGCGACAAGTAAGGCACAGAGAGGTTAAGTCATGTGCCCGAGGGCACACACTGAAGAAACCAAGATGCATACCAGGAAGTCTGAGTCCCGACTCAGCCCTGTGACTCACTACGAAGGAAAAATGTGCCCATATCATTGTAAATGCTGAATAAATGTTTGTTGAATAAAGCATTGTATCTTGCCCCTGAGAAGCTTACAATACGGAGAGGAAACATTTATGTAAACAAATAACAGAAATGCAAGATATGATATAAACCATCAAAAGAGAAACGTAAACAAGCAGTAAGGAGAATGCGGAAGACGGAGGGATAAACACCAACCAAGAGCCTGGGGGGAAGAGCATAGCGCAGGGAAGGGTCCTGGGCTCAGGCAGAAGAACTGGGGCCCCTCTGGCTCAATCTGTCATCGGGATGTCTCATAAAAAGTTTCTGCCCCTTCTCGTTTCTAGTAGGAGAATTGTGGTTGTATTTTCTAACTCAAAGGGTTATGTAAAGATTTGAAGATTTGAAAGAATAGCATAAAGGCAAAAGTAGCCTACAAATCCCCTTCTTTTAGAACTGGTGGACTGCAAGCCCCTTGAGGGCAGCTCACTGATTGTATAGTCTTGGCTCAGCACAGTGTCTGACATGCAACAAGCATTGTTGGATGATAGAAAGGAATGGGGGGGAAGGGAAGAGAGACAAGACCGAAGGAAGAGATGGAGGAAGAACAAGTCAAGAGATAAGAAAGGACGCTGGATCAGTCAGGGCTCTCTAGAAACAAACCCACAGGATACATACGTGCATGCAAACATACACACATATACTAAGAGATTTATTTTAAGGAACCGGTTCACGCAATTGTGGGGGCTGGCAAGTCCCAAATTTGCAGAGCAGGCCAGAAGACTGGAAACTCAGGCAAGAGTTAGTGCTGTGGTCTTGAAACAAAATGTCTTCTTGAAAAGGAAACCTTAGTTTTCACTCTTAATACCTTCAACTGATTAGATGAGGCTCATCTATATTATCAAGCAGTTTCCTTTACTTAAAGCCTAATAGTAGACGTTAACCACAATTACAGGATACCTTAACAGTAACAGCTAGATTAGTGTTTAAGTAACTGAGTACTATAGCCTGGCCAAGTTGACACATAAAACTAACCATAACCGATGCCATTCCAAGATGGCATGAGAAATCTAAGATGCTGAGAATAATAATTACTGTTCGGTAATGATTAATTACTGAAATTGGTAGAACAAGGCACAGAGGCAAGGAACAGATCCCAAAGTTAGAAATTAAACTTGACTCTGGGATTTAGCCAGGGGTCCAGGGGTGCAGCAGATCTGACAGACATCACAGTCAGCTGAAGGCAGCTGAAGAAACACTGATATTATGGGGTTACCTGCTCTTCCAAGTGAGGTGAAGCCAAGGAGTGTATTAAAAGCACACAGGGGCCCCACTCAAAATCTGTTTAAACAGAATATCTAAGGTGGGTCCAGCAATAGGCAATTTAAACCTCCCAGGAGATTCTGATAAAGCCGATCAATGTAGTTGTATAAATCAGAAACTGGGGAACCACAGGTGCTTTTCTGGAAGAAAAATGACTGAGGAATCTCAAAGACAGAGGTTCAAATGCTATACCTACCACTCATTAGCTGCGTGCCTTTGAGGAAGTTACCTTCCCATGTCTCCGTTTTCCTATCTATAAAATGGGCCTCTTTGTACTACATCTAAGGCTGTTGCATAAGTGAAATAATTTATGTAAGGACTTAAAATAGTCATTTTGAGGCAGTCAGTATCCGTGCTCGGATATAGTGTTAGGAGGCCGAACTGCCCTGAGCCAGAACCGCAGCCTGCCAGCTGTTAGCACAGAGCACGCTGGTAATGGGAAGAGATTTGGAGCCCACTGACAGGTCCCTTTGTGTCACTGCTGGTTCAGTGGTATAATGTGCACCTGGGAAGTGCTCTCCCTGCCTCGTGGCTCAGGAGATGCTACAGAATTCAGACGTGGTTTCTGAGCTTCCAAAGGTCACTATTTCTAAGGTTGACATTTCCATGCAGTGGTTGTACTTTGCTGCTTCTGTTTTTGCTGTTTTTTATTATACCAAATGTGTCAATGGTAAACTTCCTCATCTATACTCCCAGCATGTTCTGATAAGAGCTGTGGGAACTATTGGTTTTTCTATGGCCACCAAGGCCTTGGACAACTAAACCCAAAACTTGAATCTGGCTCCCCCATATCACTTTGGGATTCTAAACGGCCCCTTTTATGTAACCCCCAGGTATCCAATGGCTTTCCAGAAAGCGGCAAAGTGGAATGCAAAGTATAGGCTTGAGAAACAGAAAGCTTAGCCTGGCCTTGCTATTTCCCAGTTCTGATTAAGGAAAGTTGGTTAATCTCTCTGAGCCTCGGTTTTGCTGTCTACAAAATAGAGATAATAATATCTGAGTTAACAGGTTGCAGGAATCAAACGGAATAGCCTGGCACATGGTGGTGCTAAGGTTCCTCCCTTCTTCTCTTCTTTCCTCAGGCCAGTCAGACCCGCCTCTCTGCCAACTGCCCTGCATCCTCCCTACCCTATTTCTCTGGTCGGTATCACTTAGATAGGACAAAAGTCATTATACTTAAAAAGGTATTCTCACTCAGCTGTGAGTAATCCAAATATATTTAAACATGATACATTTGCAACATAAAAGATATGTTCTTGGCTGGGCACAGTAGCTCATGCCTGTAATCCCAGCACTTTGGGAGGCTGAGGCAGGTAGAGCACCTGAGGTCAGCAGTTCCAGACCAACCTGGCCAATATGGTGAAACCCCGTTTCTACTAAAAATACAGAAAACTAGTCTGGCATGGTGGCACACACTTGTAATCCCAGCTACTCAGGAGGCTGAGCTGGGAGAATCGCCTGAACCTGGGAGGCGGAGGTTGCAATAAGCCGAGATCATGCCATTGCATTCCAGCCTGGGTGACCGAGTGACACTCTGTCTCAAAAAAAAAAAAGAGAAAGAGAGAGATACAGCCTTGATTATCCTGTCTTCCAGTCTTTTTTACACACCCTCAACTCAGCCTAACTCCAGCTAGGTCACCTTAGACAAGTCACTTAACATCTCTGAACTTCACATTCTTCATGTATAAAATGGATATTGCCCTGAGAGAAACAAATGGGATAACAAGGCATGTGAAGCAGAACCAGCAACAAACATCAGCCACGCCAAGTGACTCTCAGGCTGTGGAATGTGTGCCCCCAAGGGGCCTTCTCCAAGCCCCAGTCTTTCCTGTTCCTCTGTTCTCAGAAAACTAGGCTGCAAGTTGGCACCACACTTCTCAGAGGCTGGCCTGGCTGCAGGATCCCAGCATGGAGGCAGAGAGTGCTGCCACAGACAGACAACTCAAAGGCCCCTGGCTTAGTCTGTTTTCTGATGCTATAACTGAATACCTGAGACTGTGTTTTCTTTTAAAGAAACGACATTCATTTGGTTCACGATTCTGAAGGCTAGGAAGCATAAGAGCATGGGACCAGCATCTGCTGAGGCCTTGATGCTAGGGCATAACGTGGTGGAGGGCACCGCGTGGCGAGAGAGCAAGAGTGTGCGTGTCCACCCAGGCCTCTCTTTCTCTTCTTAGAAAGCCACCAGCCCCACCATGGGGGAGTCACCCTACTGGGCTCATCTAATTCTACTTTTACCTCCCAGAGACTCCACTTCTAATCAACAGATGAATTTGGGGATTAAGTTTCCAGTACATGAAATTCAGGGGGACATTCACATCATAGCAATTCCCAAGCTACAAAATCCTCAAATAATCAGAACCAACTAACATGAACTAGAAATTACTAATTAGTTTAAGAATTCAGCTTGCACGCTCTTATTCCCACACACGTGTATACCTTTTGATGCTCGATTTTCTTAAGACAGAGGAAAATGGTGAGCTGACAGGTGAGTGCAGGTTTTATTCTGGAACCCATCTTCAAGACCAGGATATGCTCAGCTTCCAATCTTGTGCCCTTTCTATGAGCAGGACCGTGCAGTACTTGGAGAGGGCCACTGAGTCATCAAAGAGACAGACTATTTTGTTTCCAGCCCTACTTGCTAAGGCAGGAAAATGGATTATACTGTATTTTACAAAGATGTGTGACTGCCCAGGTGAAGACAAAGGGGGTTTTCTCAGTAACACTCAGTTAATCAGAGAATTCAATTCACCACTACAGCCATCGCCACAAACATGTGTAATTGAGTTGTTAGGCCGAGTGATTAAACATTGTCTGGGGGTGAAAGAGGGGAGAGTAGTGGGATTTATCTAATTAGATGATTCTCAGGGCTGGGTGGAATAGCAAAGTCTAATAATAGTTAAGAAGAAGAGTCAGTCTTCACTGAGTCCCTAACCATGGGCCAAGTACCATGCAGACACCTTGCGGATTATCACATTGACTTCAGTCAACACATCTAATTGAGAACTCCCGATTTAAAAATAAGGAAACTGGCTGGACGCGGTGGCTCACACCTGTAATCTCAGCACTTTGGGAGGCCGAGGCGGGCAGATTACAAGGTCAGGAGTTCGAGACCAGCCTGGCCAATATGGTGAAACCCTATCTCTATTAAAAATACAAAAATTAGCTGGGCGTGGTGGCAGGCGCCTGTAGTCCTAGCTACTTGGGAGGCTGAGGCAGGAGGATCACTTGAACCTGGGAGGTGGAGGGTGCAATGAGCTGTGAGCCGAGATCATGCCCCTGTGCTCCAGCTTGAGTGACAGAACCAGACACTCTCTCAAAAAAAAAAAAAAAAAAAAAAAAGATAAGGAAACGGAGGCTCAGACAGGTGATGTGATTTGTTCAAGTCATGAAAATGGCAGAGTTGTCTGACCCCAAATTCCCGTATTTTATCCATAATAATGGCAATATCAAAGCAAAATAGCAAATTGAATCCACCTTTATTGAACAGCAGTGTTTTGTAAGAATGGAAAGGTTGACTTGCAATTCTTCTACACTTTACCCTCAGGTGCCGCTTCACTGTAAGAAAGCCAGTTCTGCTACAGCTAAGAGTCCTTTGTCCTAGTCCCTGAGAACATGACTAAGGACCTGGTGGAGATTAAAGGGAGGAGAGCTGACAAAGTCCAACTCAGGAGTGAGGAGCACAGGGACGTGGGCAGGTTTCGGAAGAATGGAGAGGACACTTCTTCCCCTGTTGTTCCCCAATCCCCTACCACAATGCCTCATCCTGCTACTCCCCATGTCATCTCTCAGGCCACAATTCTATGAAAACCCCACCAGAAGCCCCTGGCAGTAGATGCGGACCTAAGCCAGCTCTGGAGAAAATGTGAATCAGTAATAAACCCACGCAGTAATGCCCAACTTCACCACTGACGCTGGAAAATGGGAATAAAAATAAAAACAAGATGCTTTGGAGGGTTTTAAATGGAAGGAGGTTATGATCAAAATGCTTTCTAAATAATATATCTTCGTTTGATTCAAAGTTTTAACACAGCATATTCTCCCAGTATGTCTCCAGATATGAAATCATTCAGATTTCACATTTTAATACTTTAGAAATAATAGTATTCAGCATTTATTAGAATATAACAGTAATGTACTTTAAATTGTATCTATATTATATAAACATTATACTAGTAGGTAATAGTACAGGATAACATAAATTATAACAGTTAAATCCTATTATTTTACTATTATAAAAATAACAGTATTTTGCACCAACAATAATACTGGTACTTTTGTACTTAAAAATAGCATAGCACCCATTATGCTGGAATTGTCAAAAACAGTAATGCAATCATGAATTACAGTCTTGTTCTGTGTTACCTCCCATGAGGCCAGACAATCTCTTCATAGCTTTGTGTAAAGACCTTTCTTTGCACATTGCATCTGCTCCTTGCCTCAATGGTAGGAAACAGGAATCCTTTGTATACCCATTCTGCAGATTTAAAAAACAGAGTCTCAATATGACATGGTCTGGAAGTGTCTGAGCCAGGACTTGAACCCAGGAACTCTAAATCCCAAGTGTTGAAGTTATTTCCTGTCCTACTGCTGGTGCTCTCTTCCTACACTGCATTGAGCCTCTGTTGGAGGTGATCATGTACCAGCTCTTTCTACCCAACCTGCTCTGTTCCCTCAGTTGAAGAGCTCTTCCTCGTCCCATGGAAAGGAAAAGCAAAAAAGCAGTGAGCAGCCAGGCCAAGCAGGCACTAGCCCAGGCAGGCCTGGCTGGCATTCCAAACCCAGAGGTTGCTTTCAGCCAAGGCAGAGGGAGATCGCAGCTGTTGCGCGATGGAAAGGTTACAGTCATTTTCCTAGGGAAGGGTAGGGTGACGAATAAAGTACCCAAGTCATCAGTTTTCACTCTGGGAAACTGGCGTGACAAGAACACGCAGAGGCAGCACATTCTCCCCTCTCTCCACGCCCTGCTTCCGAGCTGCACCTGCTTTGAACACTGCACCAGTGCAGAAACAGTAGCTCCAACAGAGACCCCTGCAAGATACGGGCAGGCTGAGGCAGGAGCAGCTGCAGCACTTGCCCCTAGGGATTCCTTCCAGGGGGCTCAGAGATGGGAAGACCTGGAGGTCAGAGGAAGCTGGTGACAGTTGGGTCACAGACACAGTGCTCCGCAGAGCTGAAGGGCAGGGCCTCTTTCATGGATGTTTGACCGTGGTGGTGACACAGGGCCCTGTTCAGAAGGGAGTCTCACATTTGGGGGTTAATGCTTTGTTGTTGCAGTCTTGAAATTTTAAATAATTTAGCATTTGCATCAGTTTCACAAGTGAGGTCCACTGGAACAGTGGCACATGTCCTGGCAAAGCTGGTGAGATGAGCTCACCTATGGTCCTGACCTCTCAACTCCCGCCTCCCGCGGATGGCTTCTCAGAAGCCTGTTTCCCCAACCCTGCCCCCAGGACTACTGGCACCCTCCAACCTGCTGGAGCGTGGCGGCGGAGGTGGGAGGGTGGCCCTAGGTGAGGGTCTGTGCTTGCCGGCAAGGACTATGTTCCCAGGAAATCACACACTATTTATATATATATTTTAAAAATGCCATGACACATGGCAGAGGGAGAGAAGAAAACCATTTTTCCTCCTTTTGGGACAAGAAGCCTCACATTTTCATTTTGCACTCATCCCTGGACAACACGCGGCCGACCCTGCTAAAAGATATGCATATAAAATGGGGGAACTGAGACTCAGAGATGCAACATCATCCCCACCCACCACCCACCACAGAAGGGGAACCTCGTGAAGGAGAAGTCACTTCTTCTAGACACCCCCAACTCCTCTGGCCACACACCCCCTCCTTTACCCCAGGCTTCTCTTTTCTATTTCTGTTTCTCCTCCTTTCCTCCCATCAAAGCCAGATCTCGGCTGATCCCACACTGAAAGAAAGATATACTAAGTTACTCATAGAAAGATGTTGATCATGACTTCAGATGCTTACGCCTCTCAGGGAAACTGGAGCATTTTATAATAAATGATACCTTAACTCAAAGGAATGGTTTACTAATAAAGGGATTTCAAGTACTTTCAAAAGTGAGTTTGGTTAAAGCTACCACTAATAATAAACAGACAAGGTTTATTGAACGCCTATATTTCCAGAAATAGGTAATAAACATTTTTTCTAATCCTTGCATCCACTTTGAAAGGAAATAATTTTACCTCTATTTTACAGAGAAAGAAACCGAGGCTCAGAGAGGCCCCCTGCCTACAGTTCCACAACCAGTACGTTATAAAATTGAATTTGAACACACGTTTTTCTGACCCCTGACAGTAATTTTGGGGCAGCATCTTCAGCACCTTACTGCCTGTGTGCATAAGGATGGCACTGGATTTTAGAAGGAGACCACGAGGGCCTTGATTAAGAGAAATGGCTCTTCCAGGCTTCCAAGCCCAGTGGTCTGAGGCTGCAGCCCACATCCTTTCAGCCTGCTTAGGAAGTGAGGGAAGTCTTGGCATTGGAAATCCAAGCTGGCATCATTCATCAAGGGTAATGGGACTGAAAGAAAGCAGCCTGGCCTTCTACCCTGCTTCTTAACAAAGTTGAAATTCTCAGGTGACGGAGAAGTCATTCGTAACGTAATTTTAAGTTTATTTTGAAGTCCTACTTTGTGCAAGGCACGGTGCCAGGCACCAGTGGTCCAGGATAAATGAAATAGACACAGTCCCAGGCCCCATGAAATTTACTGTCCTAAGATGGCTAAGCCCTTCAAAGGCTTTTAAGCAAGAGCCAAATTAAAAAATAACATTTTGCAAGTCATCCCAACACACAGCGACTGATCTACAGGCATATAATGAAACAAAAATCTAACAAAGCATTACTAGTTCTTACTACGTATTAGGAGACCCTTTATGTTCTGTTTCATTTTTTTTAAATACTAGTCCTGAATAACTGAATTTATTTTTAACACTAACTGAAGGATCACCAGAAAACCTTGTATCAGGATATGGAGTAAGTACTAACATGCTAAGAAGTACGAAGTTATGGAAGCACATGGGATAAAGAATCCTTAGCCCATAAAGCACAATCAGGGAGGGCTTCCTGGAAGAAATGACCTCTAAGCTGAGATGTGAGCTCTCAGACCCACATCTCAGCTTAGAGGACATTCTTCCTCTAAGGAAGGAGCCAGATCATGCAGAGATTTTTAATCCAGCGAAGAAATTTGGACTTTATTCCACGAGCAGTGGAAAGCCACTCACTGACGGCTCTTAAACTGGCATGGCAGTCATTAGAACCGTCGACATATATGCCGGTTGTTCTTTTAGGAACAGGGTAGCAATGAATGGGTAGCAATGAATTTCCCTCTTCCTTTTGACATAAGATGCAGCTATGTGACTTATTTGGTCCAATGAAATGTGAGTCAAAATATGGTGTGCGTCTTTCTGTGGAAGCTCTAGGAGCCGGTGGACAATGCCATATTTATTTCCTCCTGCCAGAGTGGCTGTGAAGATGCAACAACTGACAGGACAGGAAGGGACATAGATTATTATTATTATTATTATTTTCTTATTTTTTTTTGAGATGGAGTTTCGCTCGTTACCCAGGCTGGAGTGCAATGGCGCGATCTCAGCTCACCGCAACCTCCGCCTCCTGGGTTCAGGCAATTCTCCTGCCTCAGCCTCCTGAGTAGCTGGGATTACAGGCACGTGCCACCGTGCCCAGCTAATTTTTTTGTACTTTTAGTAGAGATGGGGTTTCACCATGTTGACCAAGATAGTCTCGATCTCTTGACCTCGTGATCCACCCGCCTCGGCCTCCCAAAGTGCTGGGATTACAGGCGTGAGCCACCGCGCCCGGCCTGGACATAGATTATTAAAGTGAGTAGTGAGTGATTTAAAAAACAAGGCATAGAAGGGGGATATAAAAGTGAAGAGACAGGCCTCACTCTTCAGCAGCTGATCCTGCTAAAAGGTACATATACACATATATAACATGGGGAAACTGAGACTCAGAGATGCAACATCATCCCCACCAGCCACCTGCCACAGAAGGGGAACCTCGTGAAGAAGTCACTTCTTCTAGACACCCCCAACTCCTCTGGCCACACACCCCCTCCTTGATTCCAGGCTTCTCTTTTCTATTTCTATTTCCTCCTATCAAAGCCAGATCTCGGCTGACCCCACAGTGAAAGAAAGCAAAGAACTGAAGATGAAGGTGGCGCTTGCCATGCAGGTATCTGAAAGAGGAACATACCAGCCAGAAGATGATGCAGGTGTGAAGACTCTAGACAGGAGTGTGCCTACCACGTTTGAGGAAGAAGAGAGGGACCATCTTGGCTAGAGTGAGTGGGTAATATTTCCAGGACCCTGACTTCTTAGTATTTTCTCAAGGAGCACAACTTCTGGGATCGTTGACCACAGAAGACTCTTTGGGAAATAAGACTCTAGATTATCTCAGTTTGGAAAAGGGCTGATGAGTGGTTGAGGGTCTCTTAGAGCATATTTCAGAGAGGTTCCCAGAAGCTCACCTGCCAGGATCAGGGCTCCTGGTGACTTCTGCAAAAATGGAATTACCTCCTATAGCCGGAGAGAACTGTTTTCAAACCTCCTTCTGCAGCTCTCTTCTGAAAAGCAACAGGGTTTAAGCAAGTAAGTTGCACTGAGTTGGGGGATTTAAAATCTTTTCTTGCTAAAAATAAATCTATTGTGGAAAATCCCAAAAGATGAAGTGCATCCCTAACCTCAGGGGGTCAAGCCCCGTCCCTCACGTGCATGGAGCTGGGCTTCCAGCTCTTATCATTAGCAGTAATCTGAGGTCAGGAGGGGTTGCCGGGCTGTTCCCAACTACGTGGGTTGCTTGCTGATTTCCTGGGGCCCTGGAGAGAAAAACAAATTCTGCTTTAGAACAGTGCCTGTTTATTTATCGGTAGCAATCCCCTCCTTAAGATTCCTGAATGCACGGTTCTCCCGGTAGTGCTACCACCACCAGCTCGCCCTGATCACTCACAATGTCAGTGATGCAGAAGGGCCAGGAAATCACTGTCTTGTTCACCCCCACACAGCCAGGACCAAAGAAAAACAAAGATCTTCTCCAGTATTTCCAGACCAAAAAAGCACAGGAAGCTTCGTCTCTTAGAGGCAGTCTGCAGTGACAAGGGAGCACAGACCACCAGGGACCACAAGTCCTTCAACCCCTGTTCCTGCTCTCCTCCAGCTGAATGGACACTCCCCACCACACACACGCATCGTAGGATCTGCTGCCCTGTATCTGCTCTGTGTCTGGCTTTGTAGGAAGGGGTGGCATTGTGATCTCTCTGTGCTCCAGAGTCACACGCTGATCCCCAGGTAATCTACCAGTCACAGCAGCGACTCAGAGCTAGAGTATAGATGGGTTGGAACAACCCCAATCCCAGCACTGAAAAATGAACTCAAGGCAAATGCACCACCAACCATTTTAACCATTTTATCTTTGTGGGTAACGTCAATTGAGCAGCTGCTGGTTGCTGAAGACCAAATTGTGAATGACGCATAATCTCTGCCCACTAGGACAGGTATATACATGCAGATGTGTCATATATAGTCCAGTCATGTATCACTTACCAAGGGGAACATGTTCTGAGAAATGTGTCGTTAGGCAGTTTCATTGTTGTGTAGATATCCTTGAGCGTACTTACGCGAACCTAGAAGGTACAGCCTACTACACACCAAGGCTGCATGGTGTAGCCACTTACTCCTAAGATACAAACCTATACAGCATGTTACAGTATTCAATACTGCGGGCAGCTGTAACATAATGGTATTTGTGTATCTAAACATAGAAAAGGTACAGTAAAAATACGGCATTACAATATTTTAGGACCACTGTCATATATGCACTCAGATGTTCACCAAAATTTCATTATGTGGCACATGACTGTATATGTGTATGTGTGTATACATGTATGTGTACGTATGTGTGTATAAATATCTATGAATGAATGACTGCTCTATATACATATATGAATGAATGACTGATAAAGTATGGTTCATGCCAAGTAATACATACGTGAAAAGCGGGAGGAAGGGAGAATGACAGGTAAGGGGATGTACAATGGAGACAGTAAGTCAGAAAGTGCAAGGACTATAACATTTGATTGGGCCTCAAAAGATGAGTAGCCAAGGGCAGCTCAGATGGACACAGCAGCCTGTGCAAAGGCACTGGGATGTACCAATACTTGGCCATGTCACTGGACAACGTGCTCCATATTTCATATAGTCAATTTCAAAGTTTCTGGGAATCAATTCATTAGCCCATGGGAATTAACTCTAACTGCCGCAAGGAGGGTGGCTACTTATTCTATTCTTGTTCCCCAGGACCTCTGTCATCACCACTCAATCACATATACAGCCGATGCCAACCATGTTCAGAGCCTGTGTCAAGCAGAAGACCTGCTAATAGATATAATAATAATAACATCAAAAAGGATTTCTTGAACATCTACTATATGTATGTACCATATAGTAGAAGACATCTACTATATATTTCTTGAACATCTACTATATGTACCTACCATATAGAAGTTCTTTATGCTTATTTTCTAACTTACTATCCCAGTAAACCCATAGCATGATTGCTATTAGTCCCATTTTACAGATGGAGGCACCGAAGCTCACAGGCACCATCTCTACTGCAGGAAACTCACAATGAGTTGCAGAAACAGGACACATGCTTAGAAAAATAAGCAGCAATTAATAGCAATGACTAACTTTCATTGAGCTCTTACTATGTGATAGACATTGTGCCAAGGGCTTTATATGCATTTGTTCATGAAGCTTTGCAACAGCCCTGTGGGGTCAGCACTGTTAATGCACCAATTTTACAGAGAAAGAAACTGAAACACAGAGAAATGAAGTACCTGGCCCAAAATTAAACAACGAGTCCAACTACAGAGCCCATACTATGTGCTCTGCTCCATGGGGTACCAAGGCCAGGTGCTAAGGAACTTAGATGAGAGAGCACACACTGTTGGCCTCACCAGCAACAGTGGCTAAACTGAGCCTCCTAGGAAGGGTTGGAGAAAGAAGCTGGGGCAGGCCAGGGTAAGGTATAGATAGACTGGTTTCAATCTGGCTGTCTCCAAGAGGCTGCTCAGGGAATATCATCCATTCTGTTTAAGAATTCACCACATCCAGGGTTTAATTATCAATTTTGCAGGCCAGAACACCTGATTTTCTCAGTTCACCCAGAAAAGAATCATATTACGGAGGCTATCTAATGTTAACATTTACCGTATGCAAACATGGAATGCCAGTTTATTTTTCATCAGGGATGTGTTGTTCCTGGACAGAGTAGTTCTGTTTATTTGACTAGTATATCTTCTCCCCAATTCATAATCAAAACAATAATAATAGCAAATATTTTATTGAGTTGTTACTCTGTGGTACACACATGAAGCATTATCTAAGCAATGGAAACCAAAGAAATAGAGGTAACGTGCTGGCATCACACTAAGATGAACAGATGTGTCCGTCTTGCCAACAAGGATGGTGTGGCCAGTGAGGCTGAACTACCTGAAATCCAATGGCGACGATGCCCACTTCCATCCCCATAACAGGACTGGCCATAACATTGCAGGTCTATTGGCCCAAACACCCTCTGCTTTGTATGGTCACTGCCTCCGCGACACTTTCCTTTCTGCGTTATGGCTGAGTAGAGTCACTTCTGATTAACACATGCTTCCTGTAGGCGTGTTAATACATTCCATCAGGTTACTGTCAAGTTGTGCCACCGAGGGAGCCATTCTATCTCCTGAAGGTGACTTTGCATATCTCTGCTCTGTGCAGATCTTAAAGTTTAATCCTTAGCAGACAATCCTAGTTCCCTTATCTACAGATTCATGGAAGATGCCTCACTGCAGTGCCCTATACAGGCAACATCAAGAAAAAGATGCCAAGCATACTAGAAAGCAAGGAGTTTTACTAGGGCTGAAAAACTGCGCAGGGAAATTAAAAATTGGAGAGACGGGTTGGATCATGGAGCGCTAAATGCCAGAATCAGCAGTATCAAAATCACCAAGTCCACTATTGTACTGGATACTGAACGGGGCAAAGCACATACACAAAAACAGTATATCTATCTATCTTATCTAGATACATACACACAAACACACACACACACACACACACACACACACACACACACACACACAGTTTTCCACCCTTCATGAGCTTTCATTCCAGAGCACACATTACCACATTAGCAATAAGATCCTAAGTTCATTTTTTTAAATTCATGTATTCATTCAATCATTCTACCCATATTTATTCAATGCTTTCTATAGGTAAAGTACCATACTCAAAAGGCATCATCTTTCTAACAGTGGCTGTATCTCCTCTCCAAGCCTTAACAACGGATGGAACAGACACAGAAGACATAGGTAGAGGAAGTTCTTAGCCCCTCATCAGACCAAGCTCTCCACCTCCACTCCAAAAATGGTACTGAAGAGGTAAGAGTATGACAGATAAGACCATACGTTATTTCCACCCCAAAGCCAAAGCCTAGTTAAAACTGAGAAAAGCTGATGACGTTTAAATCTGATTCAGGATTGGAATTTTAAACTTGATTGTTTTTCAAATAAATTAAAGACTTTGCCTGAATGTCAAGGGGCAGAAAAGGAGCATAGTTGAAAGCAGACATTGAAAAATAAGAAATTTAAACCAAGCCCATAGACATTTACAATGTGATTTTTATAACTGACCCAAGTCTTCCCTACCCCACTCCCTCCACCATGGTTTGATTCCCCACCGTCCCTCACCAGGACTCCTGCAAAGACTTCCTCATAGGCCCATCTTCACCCACTCCTGGAGTAATCCAATTCGTCTTACAGACAACAGTCAGTTTCATTTTTTAAAAACCTTCTGCTCATATGAACCCCCTACTCAAAATCTTCTACCGCACTTCCATCGTTCTGGATAAAGACGAATTTCAACAGTAGAGTTTCTGGTTAAACGGACCTATTTGGGAACCAGACCTACTGGGTTTAATCCTGGCTTTGCCATTTGTGAGTTGTTGGCAGGTAAGGTGTTGGATCTCTGAGCCTTGGTTTTCTCAGTAAAAGGGGTTTCTAGTAGAACCACCACTTCATCGTTGGTTGTGAGGATCAAGTGAGTAGGTATGTGTGAAGCTCGCAGGATGGTGCCTGGCACACAACAATCTCTGCCTGGTGCCCCTGTCGTCATTACCTTAGGGTGCTGGATAGCTGGAGCTTTGTTAATATGGACTAAAGTAGGCTGCCAGTAAGACTGGAGAGATGGACTCACTCCTGATTCCTCATTTCCTGGCATAAAGCCCAACAGGTAGGAGCCTGGCAGGTAGAAAGTTTTAATAAATATTTGCTGGATGGACAAATGAATAGATGAATCAGTGAGATCAAATTCTCCTCCTAAACAAAAGCTTTTGGCCTAAGGCCTTGTGTACTGCTTGTATAGGACCATGATGCCATCTGTGCCTCTCCCCTTCCTCAGCTCTAACTGCTGCGTGGAAGGGACTGTGGTAACTTAGCAACAAGGGCTTCTATAGAAACGAAGCAGCAGACAATGAGAGCAGGCACCCTGGCCCACCCTACTCTTGAATGTAGAGCATATGTAAACAGGAACCTGCACCTCTGCCCTGGGCCCCCTGCAGACCTTGACACTGCTGTTAGGAGCAGGCCTGGCACACATTTACTCAGGGATAAGTGTAAGGAGTATCTTTAGTAGGCAAGCCTGGCCTTTCTAGATGCAAGGAAAAGCACAGCCTGCTCAGGGAGGTCAGTGGCAGGCTGCCCTTTGGGATATCCCTCCAGGCCAGGGAGGTCTTCGGTACTCCATGCTCAGCAGTGAGAAAAAAGCTAAATGTAGGGGAATTATAGGGGCATCCTCAAAGAACTGTATTCGAGCCAAAAGTGAGGTCTGAGGCTACCACCCAGAGGAGAGCTCAGCTTCTTCACAGGCCACAATGAGACAGACAAGACGCCCTCAGGAGGAGGATGGGAGAGGTTTGTTTGGTCATGGAAGACAGGGACAAGCAAACAAAGGCATCAGACTGAAATACGCGTAAAAGGTGCCCGCCTCAAAGGGCATGGTTCTGGACAAGGAGGGAGGGGGCGCACATTGCTCTAGGCCTTGAGCTTTCCTTTGTAAAATGAGGAGATACAGAAGGTGATCCCCAAGATCCCTCCCAGAGCTACTGGACATAAATCCATGCCAATTTCCCTCTCACCCCCAAAAGCGATTTACTCATTTGTATTCTGTTAAATCCCAAGTTCTTTTTCCCAGCTCCATTCTTCTCTGACCAACCGAATTTTACCTGCTTGGAAGGCACAGGCATTGGCATATTCTGCCCCCACTTATCACAACTGCCCACCTCCCTAGCCTGCAAATTCCTAAACTGCTCACCAGAGTGTGAGATGTGTTAAAAATTGATCTCCTGGTACACAGGGTGAAGATGTGACACTGTTAGAACTAGCAGGCGTCAAGGTGTCTGGAATCCAAAGGACACTAGACGGGGCCCTTTGAACCAGGCACGTGAAGTCATGTGTTAGAGATGTGGGGATCGGGGAAGCTCCAGGAAGGGAATCAAACACTAAGGAGACTCCTGGTGGTGCCTCGGCCATTGTGATGGAGACAGGAGCAATGAGATGGGGTTCTGTTAAATGGCAGGGTGCAGCTCTGGACCCACCCAGCCCAGCTAGGCATTAGTGAAAGCAGAGATGCAGGGCTTGGTGCAAGGCCAAGAGCAGGCAAGGGCAAGCTGGGGTGGGGTGAGGGTACAGGAGGAAAGTGCAATTCGGTGCCACCGCCACAGCAGCAGGGCCCAGCAGGCCTGCCTGCTCCCTTCCGGTGTTAAGAAGCCTGTGCTGGAGAAGAGACCTTCCCAGGGAAATGCCTGCCAAAAGGTGGTCACCTGTAATGAGGCAATAAATGGGGTAATTACTGAGTAATTGCTGGACCTCCAAGTGTCTGGGAAGCCAAGGGTGAGAGAACTTGGCCAACACAAGGCCTCATGTCTCCCGTGAGCTGGAAGCCCAGCTGAAAATTAGATGGTGAGGATGCACCAGGGAGAGGCTGCTTTGTGAACATGCATTTCATTTTTTCTTTCCTCCTTTTCCTTTCCCCCTTCTTCTGGCAGCAGTTCAAGGCTATCTGAAAGTGCCTGAGGCCTGCATTTTGGCTGGGAAGCAGAGGCCTCTGTGGTCTGGTGTCTTTGAAGCTCAGACTCAACCCTGCCACACCTGCACCTTCCCAGGCCACCTTGCTCCACCCCACAGAGGCTAGACCTGCAGCTGAGAGCTGCGATGGAGGCAACACCTTACAGCAATCCTAAATCCAAGACCAGCACTGAGGCAGGCCCTGCAAGGTCTTGAGCTTTCCTTTGTAAAATGCGGAGATACACGAGGTGATCCCCAAGGTCCCTCACAGAGCTACTGGCCGTAGATCCATGCCAATTTCCGTCTCACCCCAAAAAGCGATTTACTCATTTGTATTCTATGCAAGATGCTGATTCCATTGTGTTGCCGCTAGCTAGTGACTTGGGGTCCACACACAGCTTCTTTACAAAGCCCTTTTTCTCCATTCGCCTCTGAACTCCAGGGGCCTAAGCCCTTGTAGCATCCTTCTTCCAGTTAGAGAAATTGGACTAGTTAACCTAGGAAAAGATGTGAGTGCTTAAATATGCAAAATGGAATCGTTGAAACCGTGGAATAAAATGGGTTCTTTTGCTTTGGCTAAGGGCAGGGTGGAGATTTGGGTGGAATGTGAAAATGAACACAATAATTTTTTTAGTATCTTTTATACGTTGTATGTCATTTTGTTAGTCTAGGAGCATTAAAAATGTATAACATAGAGCTTGTTCTGCTCATAAAATGATCCACTTTGGCATATTAAAATTTAAAGTATAGTTTATTCAGGCAGTAATTACACTTTTACTAATTGAATTTACTCTTAAATATTTCAAAGTTTTGTAATAAATTGAGCTACAAGATACTGAGCCTCAAGGTATTTGCATTTGATGCTGTTTGACAAATAGGTGAAGCCTCTAGAACAGAAGAAATCACCAGTGTTAAGTAAAATGGAAAGCAGATTTTGTTTTCTGATGTATTCTAGTGCTAAGAAGGACAAGGAGCACAACATTACTCAACGCGATCATTTGCCATTTATAAGGCTCTTCACATACATTACCTTATTTGGTTTTCATAATGGACGTCTAAAGAAAAAGAAAGATGTATGCACCTAAAGATAAGGAAAATGAAACTCAGGGAAACTAAGTGACTTGCCCAAGATCACACAGCAATGATTGATAGAACCCAGGAGTGTCTATGAACCAAAGCCCGCTGTCAGAAGATTCCCTGACATGAAGTATGTATATACAATGGAATATAATTCAGCCTTAAAAAGGAAGGAAATTCTGACACAGACTACAACATGGATGCACCTTGAAAACATGAGGCTAAGTGAAGACACAAAAGGACAAATACGGTATGTTTCTACTAATATGAGGTATCCAGAACAGGCAACTTCACAGCAGTGGTTGACAGAGGGTGGGGGAAAGAAGGATGGAAGTTTTGATGGGTACAAAGTTTCAGTTTGGGATAAAAAAGTTCTAGAAATGGATAGCACTGATGGTTGCTCAGTACTATAATTATAGTTCATGCCACTGAATTCCACACTTAACAGTGACTATGTTGGCAAATGTTTCGATTATTTGGATATGATTCTTGCGCCCAGGAATCTGTTTTATTTGCTGAGCTACTCCTTTCAGAAGTTTCCACTTTTTCTAATCTTTCGTTTCTATTTACACACTTCCGAGAACCAAAACTCTGCCTTGGTTACTGTAAGATTCTCTTCTGTTTTGTACCGACCTAAACCAACTGGGTTCTTTCTGTAGCAGTTAAAAGCAACGTTCGCATTCCCAGTTGGTATGTTACAGTAAGAACAAGTTTCAGGCTGTATTCTCCCATGCATACAAATTTTTTTTCCCCAAGACAGAGTCTTGCTCTGTCACTCAGAGCTGGAGTGCAATGGCAAGATCTTGGCTCACTGCAATGTCCACCTCCTGTGTTCAAGCAACTCTCCTGACTTGGCCTCCCCAATAGCTGGAATTACAGGTGTGCACAACCACACTCGGCTAATTTTTGTATTTTTAGCAAAGATGGGGTTTCACCATGTTGGCCAGACTGATCTTGAACACCTGATCTCGTGATCCACCTGACTCAGGCTCCCAAAGTGCTGGGATTACAGGTGTGAGCCACCTCGCCCAGCCACAAATATTTGTTAGCCAGCTGGCCCAAACACATAGCCTATCCAGAACACTCAATGAAATTCTAGCCTACTGACCTTTTTTGTCTGTGTGATAGCACACTGCATGGAGATGCAGCAATATTCCAGTGGTGGATTAGGAGTCAGACTAAAATTCTCTGATTTAGTGTCTGTAAATAGGACTGGTTTAATATCTTAGGGCACCACTGCAAAGAGCATGCATTGCCGTTGAACTTGCTAAATTTATATACCTTTCCCATGCAAGGGCAGGGAGAGCTCCTGTATCTGATACTTCTGGCCAGTATATACATTTCAAACTACTTGTTTCACCCAAGAAAATGATTTCTAACATCCATTATGCTAATTAGCAAAGCTCTGGTGTTGATAGGATATAAAAGTACCTGGAGGTCTTGCAGAGGCTGCAGAGGGAATGTATCTTCTGCTTGGAGTCTTTCAAATGTTAACTAACCACCCCTGAAGTACATATTCCTGATTAGAATTCCTCACGTGCTAACTCATCACCCTCTAGAATTTGGATCTAAAGGATATCTCACAGTTAGGGTTGCCAGATAAAATATATCTAATATTTGGGACATACTAAGATATTACTTAGTATTTACCTGAAACTCATATTTAACTATGTTCTGTATTTTACTTGCTAAATTTGTCAAGTCTACTCACAGTCTATACTGTATTGAAGTGTTTTAAAATGAACTACAGACAATATAACAAATGCCTCTGGAGTAACAAAAATAATATTTTTAATGGAGATGTCTTTTAGCACAATTTCTTTCTTATCACTTATTTCTTCTTATGCTTTTAAGTTCAGGGTTACATGTGCAGGACGCACAGGTTCGTTACATAGGTAAACGTGTATCGTGGGGTTTGGTCGTATAGACTAGATGAAAATAATATTTTAAGTTATTGTTTGTTTCCCTGATTTGGCGGTGACCGTTTCCAAGCACGACTTTTCTCCTGCTGCAGATTTTGACAGTTCTGAGCAGGTGTAACAATAAGCTAGTTGCTTTAACATCCGCAGAAATGAATAGATGTTCCTGCCACAATCCATGGTCCATCACTCCCAAAGCTTAGATGCCTACCTGCTGACATCGAAATCAGAATTCAGCAAGAGCAGACCCACAAGCAGAGCAAGAAGTTTCTGAACCTCTTTGTGTGTATGTGTGTGTGTGTGTGTGTGTGTGTGTGAGAGAGAGAGAGAGAAAGAGAGAGAGAGAGTGTGTGTGTGTGTGTGTGTGTGAGAGAGAGAGAGAGAGAGAGACAGAGAGAATGATATTGCCCTCGGATGCAGAAATGTGCTTTACTCTTGCATGCGAGAATAATACTGTACTGCTTGTTCCTCGTGCACAGGAATTACAATGATCTGATATTCTAGGTAGTTTCACATTAAAGTCTTTTCCTTGCACAGAGGGATTTAGAATTCACTAGTGGAGGGTGGGGAGAGAGAGGAATAATAAAGACAGGATAATAGTACCTTATCTGAAGGATTTTCGTCATCATCCTAAAATAAAATAAAATTTATTTTCCAGAATTTTTCTAATTTTAATGCTTAACATTGTTAAGAGAGGAAATTCTCAGGGCTGAAATAAAATAACATTGTCCTCCCTCCATTCCCATCCCTAAGTATTTGAGGAAGGGGAAAAACAGGAGGGAAACCTTTTCTTTTCTATCTAATGGGGGATTAAAGGGATCCTCCCAAATGTCCTAGAGAAGGTGAATAGTTACAAAAAATTAAATATGAAAATAAAAAGGCGGTGTCTGGGACCCACCCCTGTACCCCAGAGCCTCCTGGGAAAGGTCACCAAGCAGGTCAGATCCCCTGTAGTGGGCCCAGGGAGGCCGGGCTCCTGCGGTCTCACTCCCCGGGTTGCAGCTTAATAAAGCTTAATAAAAGGTGTGATTACCATGGCAACCTCAGAAACACTTTCAAATAGATGGCCAATTATTATTCACTCATTTACTGTTTATTGTAGTGATGCCAATCACAATGAACTCCAGGGGTGCATTAATGGAGATGTGATCTGGGCCTGGGGCCCTTGGGAAATGGCATTGTAGTGCTTCCTTCATTAGCATAGTGCCTTCAAGGTGGGTGGGCACACAGTTTCTCCCTTTGGTGCCTTGCCACCCAAGCACAGCCAGAGAAAAGTACACACCACACACACACACACACGGTGCCCCCAGTATACACCCAGGTCCCCAGACAGAAGGACAGAAACCTACGCTCAGCGCTGGTGGGAGTTTTAATATTTCTCATCCTTCCCAGTGGACCCTTTCCCCACTTCAAATTTGATAAACAAATACACTGCCTCCTTAAAACTGGGCCCGGCTCTCAGGGGAAGGAAGATGTACCAAGCCTGTTTCCCCTTCCAGAAGGCCTTTGAGGTAGGCAGTTTAGAAGACTGGAGGGAAGAATACAGTGAGTGAGTGATTATTCTTTTATTAAAACGCTCAACCCCACTCCCAGCCCTGCCTTCGCCGTTCCTCAAGATCTGGCAACCTAAACACACATTCTCTTCATCTCAGAGACATGTGCAGGCAGAATGGCTTGTTGACATGTTTCTGTGTGTTTTATTTCTTTCTTTTTTTTTGAGATGGAGTTTCATTCTTGTTACCCAGGCTGGAGTGCAATGGCGCGATGTCGGCTCACCGCAACCTCCGCCTCCTGGGTTCAGGCAATTCTCCTGCCTCAGCCTCGTGACTAGCTGGGATTTCAGGCACATGCCACCGTGCCCAGCTAATTTTTTGTATTTTTAGTAGAGACGGGGTTTCACCATGTTGACCAGGATGGTCTCGATCTCTTGACCTCGTGATCCACCTGCCTTGGCCTCCCAAAGTGCTGGGATTGCAGGCTTGAGCCACTGTGCCCGGCCCTGTGTGTTTTATTTCTAAAGTAATTTTCTCTCCCTCTTTAAGAAGGTAGCTGGTCATTTAATGAACTGGAAATGATGGAAAGACAGCTTCCACCCTTGGTTTCTTGGATGGATTCTACCAGACCTTCCCAGAGAAGCAGAGGAATGGGGACTTTCCAAGGTGTCATGGGGATGGGAGTTTGGGAAGCAGAGGGCTTTGAAGGGGTTGGCTCATGGCTCTATCTGAGGAGCCTCAGTAGGATTCCTTTCCCATCTCTATGTTCAATACAAAAGCAACAGAACCATCCACCCCCTAGGTTCTGCAGGAACAGGAAATGATTTTATCATTGGGGACCAGTGAGGACCCAGGATCAAAGGATTTCTCCAGTGCTGGCTCTGTGCACAACCTGGCCCAAAGGAAGGGGGCGGGTTGGAAAGCATCCCTGATACCCTGGTGGGATGGAAACTCAACGCCAGATTTCGTTTATTTTAATCAAGTAGCATAGCATTTCTTGTGTACCAGAATGCATGGTAAACTCCAGACCAACTGCTCAGCTGCCAGGCAGACCCCACGCCAACATGGCCTGTTCTTCTAAAGGCAGCTAATTCTTGCCCTGCCCAGCTCATTCTGATTCCTGTAGCAACTCCCTCACTGGTGCCAATCAGGCCCAGTGACAGCCGGGGGTGGGAAGGCTTGAGAGTGACTCACTTGTTTTTGCTTGTCTCTGCCTCTGCCCATGCTCAGGGTGTGGGGGCAGTGTTAAAGAAAAGATTATCCTGGCCGGGTGCGGTGGCTCACACCTGTAATCCCAGCACTTTGGGAGGCAGAGGCGGGTGGATCATGAGGTCAAGAGAACGAGACTATCCTGGTCAACATGGTGAAACCCCGTCTCTACTAAAAACACAAAAAATTAGCTGGGCATGGTGGTGCGCGCCTATAGTCCCAGCTACTCGGGAGGCTGAGGCAGGAGAATTGCCTGAACCCAGGAGACGGAGGTTGCGGTGAGCCGAGATCGCGCCATTGCACTCCAGCCTGGATAACAAGAACGAAACTCCATCTCAAAAAAAAAAAAAAAAAAGAAAAGAAAAGATTATCCTGACACTTGTTAAAATGGTTAAGGAAGACTTTCTGCAGGACTGTCACGACAGGCAGCACAACTATTGCAATAGGGGAGAAAGATTGGGCTTGGCCCCGATTACAGCAAAGACAGGTGTGAATTGATAATAGCCAGTGAGCAGAATGTGCGGGTCGGTGGACCAAGAGAGGCGAATTCTTGCTAAGTCAACTTAATGAGATTCTTACTGAAGCCAGACAGAGTAAGTTGCTCAGATATCAAGGGTGGGAAGATTCCTCATAAACTAGCTTTCTGGGACTTTCACTAATATTAGTCTGCAGAGACAGACAAGGAAGACCAAGGCTGAAGACTGGTAGAGAAGGGCTCAGAGAAGCCAGACTCAAGTTTGGTCAACGAGAGAATCTTCATCAGTAGTCACTGGAAATGGGCTCTAGGGAAGGAAGAGCCGAACAAGAAATTGGTCTGGGAGGGGGTTGTCTTTGTTTTCTGGCAAAATTAGACAGCACTCAAAGGGCAGCCGACTAGGAAAAAGTATGCTTATCAAGCAGTGCTCAGTGAAGCCTGGGTAAGGCTATCAGGGAACTGCTTCCCTGCACTGCGTTTAGGCTAGCTGAAGGGACCCTTGCAGCCAGCACTTTAAAAAGTCAAATCGTTTCGGATATCCAAGAGGTTTGTCTGCCCTAGGCCTTTTCTCAGTAGCTAAGTGCTGGCCAGGGAGGGATTCAAATCCTGCCTTTACTAGTTTTGCTCTCTGTTAACCGTGAACACAGACACAAGGTGTCTATACACAACCCCTTGGGAGCTCAGTTTCTTCTTCAGGAGGCTGAGGATGGTCATGTTTCCACTCTCATTCATTGTAATGATGTTTATAAAGCCCAGGAGAAATGCTCGATCAATGCGAGCTCCGCTGCCTCGTTCAGTCTGGGAGGACCAGTTGAGACAAAGGCTCTTCTCCCCATCTCAGAGTCCTAGAGAGAGACCTATAGCTCTTCTTGAGGCACAACGCCCTGCTCTCCAAATGATCTTCCTCCTGACTTACATCCCACCTGCAGATGATGCTTATCCCATCTGGACAGTTCCTGCCTTATAGGAATTCCTGGGAGCTTAGTCTAACTTCTCCAGCTTTTTCTTTTAATGGTGGTGAGATGCTAGAAAGGGTAGCACTAGGGACTGAATGTTAGTGCCACCTTCAAATTCATATGTTGAATCCTAACCCCAAGGTGGCAGTATTGGGAGGAAGTGGTTGGTTTATCCTAACCCCAAGGTGGCAGTATTGGGAAGTGGGGGTTTGGGGAGGTGGTTAGGTTACCAAGGTGGAGTCTTCATGAATGGGATGAGTTGTTTCCTAAACAGGACCCAGACAGCTGGCTTGGCCCCGCCATGTGAGGACATAGCAAGAAGGTCTCTCTATGGACCAGGAACCAATCCCTCACCAAGACACCAAATCTGCCGGCGCCTTTATCTTGGACTTCCCAGTCTCCAGAACTGTAAGAAATAAACTCCTGATTATAAGCCACCCAGTTGTTTATAAGCCATCCAGTCTGTGGTGCTTTGTTTCAGCAGCTCAAACTGGTGCAGACGGAGTGGGAGTGGCAGGGCAGCAGGGACCTCAGGAGCCAGAAACCTGCCTGTGATCCCAGAGTGAGGCGAAGGTGGTGCCAAGAGACTGGTATGACTCTTGACTCTCAGTCCAAAGATCCTGAAGGCATGAGACCCAAGAGAGGTTTTGAGGGGGCAGAGGGGAGGCGGGGGTCCCACAAAGAACGGTTCTCAGAAAGCAAACCCAGGTGAGGAGTACATAGGAGGTCATCTCTGGCAGTTTGGCCTGACTTTCCCCAATAGTTCTAACTGACTTTCCCCAATAGTTCTAACTGACTTTCCCCAGTAGTTCTAACTGACTTTCCCCAATAGTTCTAACTGACTTTCCCCAATAGCTCTAACTTTAATTCAGCTCAACAAACACTTCTAGAACATGACTTTACCATACACCGACTGTACAAGACGTTAGGAATACAAAGATAAATAAGACTCATTCTCTGCCTCAAGAAATTTGCAGCCTAAGGAGAAATCAGGAATGCAAACAAATAAATTCTAATACTCTGTTGGATGGGTGCTGGAATGGCTGGCTGAGCCTGCTGCTGTGGGACCACAGGATGGGATTGTGAGGTCTGCTTGGAGGGTGAGGGGAGGCGTCCCAGAGGAGGCGAAAGTTCATCTCCCCATTCAGAGAATGAAGTAGAAACTGTGCAGGGCAGAGAGCTATAGAAACACAAGGCCTGCTTGGAGAGGCAAGTGTTTGGGAGGCAAGTGTCAGGAGAGGGGCTGGAGAGATAAGAGAAGGAAGCATGAGGAGGTCTTTGAAGGGCCACCCAGGCTGTTGGAATTTTAGAAAGGCCATTTTGATGGTGGCTTGGAGGATGGCTTGGGTAGGGAAGGGTGGGGACACCCCTGCAGTAGCCCTAGAAAGAGGCAAAGCCAGTGTGGAGAAGTGGAGCTAAACCTTCCCAGCCAGGCGACCTTGGCTTCAATTCTGGTTCCCACTAACTGTGTGATGTTGGGCAAGATCTTCAGCCTCACCGATCCCCAGGCCCCCGTGTGTAAAATGAGGATACTAGAGAATACGCCTTTGTGATTCTGATGAGGATTAAACACAGATAATTTTGTCAGCTGCCTGACATGGGTTCCGGCTCACATTGCAGGCACCCAATCAGCTAAGGCCAAATCGCAGGAGAGATGCGTTTGAAGTGAAGCACATAGAATAGTGTCTAGCATATAGTGGGCACTCCAATCGCATTTGTAGTCTAACAAATCGAATCTAGGAGAAGAGGGGAAAAGGAGTCTAAGATGATTCAGAAAGTTCTAGAATGATCTCTGGTTGGCGCTTTGACAGCCATGGGGAGGCACACACTCCGGGAGGTGGGGGTGTAGCTGCCTTGGGATCTTACTCCTCTGGCTCCCACCTTCCACCACCCATTCTCCCTGGGTCCTGCAGGTGGCTTCATCCCTGACACTACAACCAGACAACTTTCTACCTGGGGTGCTGCTAGCTATCTTTAGTTCTCTATCCCATTTTTTAAAGGAAAGAAATCTAGATACTCCTACAGATGTGATCGTGCAGCTTTCCATGGGTGGGCAGCCATTCTGGTATCTGGTGGAAAGGGATAGAAACAGGAGTCACACTTGAGAGCTGAAAGGGGATGAATCCATGCTGGTCAGGTACCTTCCATGTGCTGGGCTCACAGCATTATTTTATGTAATCCTCACAATCAGCTTGTGGGTTTGAAATTTTCTTTTTGAGATGGAGTTTCACTCTCGTTACCCAGGCTGGAGTGCAATGGCGCGATCTCGACTCACCGCAACCTCCGCCTCCTGGGTTCAGGCAATTCTCCTGCCTCAGCCTCCTGAGTAGCTGGGATTACAGGCACATGCCACCATGCCCAGCTAATTTTTTTGTATTTTTAGTAGAGACGGGGTTTCACCATGTTGACCAGGATGGTCTTGATCTCTTGACCTCGTGATCCACCCGCCTTGGCCTCCCAAAGTGCTGGGATTACAGGATTGGGCCATGAATTTTTTTTTTTTTTTTTTTTTTGAGATGGAGTTTCACTCTTGTTACCCAGGCTGGAGTGCAATGGCGCGATGTCGGCTCACGGCAACCTCCACCTCCTGGGTTCAGGCAATTCTCCTGCCTCAGCCTCCTGAGTAGCTGGGATTACAGGCACACGCCACCGTGCCCAGCTAATTTTTTTGTATTTTTAGTAGAGACGGGGTTTCACCATGTTGACCAGGATGGTCTTGATCTCTTGACCTCGTGATCCACCCGCCTTGGCCTCCCAAAGTGCTGGGATTACAGGATTGGGCCATGAAATTTTTTTTTTTTTTTGAGATGGAGTTTCACTCTTGTTACCCAGGCTGGATTGCAATGGCGCGATGTTGGCTCACGGCAACCTCCACCTCCTGGGTTCAGGCAATTCTCCTGCCTCAGCCTCCTGAGTAGCTGGGATTACAGTCAAGCGCCACCGTGCCCAGCTAATTTTTTGTATTTTTAGTAGAGACGGGGTTTCATTATGTTGACCAGGATGGTCTTGATCTCTTGACCTCATGATTCACCCGCCTCGGCCTCCAAAGTGCTGGGATTACAGGCATGAGCCACCGCGCCCGGCGTGAGTTTGAAATTATTACTATCAGCCACATTTCACTGAAGGGGAAAATGGGGCCCAGAAAAGTTAAGGAACTATTGTAAGGTCACACAGCTAGTGAGTAGGGAAAACAGGGTCCAACCACATCTACCAGGCTTCAAAATTCTTGCTTTTTTCCACTGTCCCTTTCTAAACAGCCAGGGACTAAGATAGTAAAAGGAAAGGATAGTAACACAGACACTCAATGAAAGTGTCAGAGTATGAAAGAATGAAGAGAGGGTCGGGTGAGGGCAGCTTCCTAGTGGGTCCCACCTTCCAGCCTTGGATGGGCAGCACCTCCAAGCTAAAGCTGGCACACTCTCTCCTTGGATGGCAGCCACAGGCTTAGGCCCTGCACTGGACATCTCCCTGGGCCACTCACTGCCCTCTCCTCCTGGATCTCTCCCTCCACCCTCCTCTCTGCCCCAGAGCCTGCCTGTAGGAAGCTGGCCCTCTTCACAGAGGCACTCCTTGCTTCCAGCTGCTCACTAGAATCCTAGTGGGGCTGAGGCTAGCACACCAGGGACTAATCCCCAAAGACAAACAGACTGGACTGGTTAACCCAGACCTCCTCATGCACATATTTAAACATCTGAAGAAGCCCCTGAAACCTCAGAGGCTCAATTAGACACAATGAGATCCAGTTAAAGAGGCCCCTCTTCTGTGAGGCCCTCCTTGACCACATCATTTGAACCATGATTGTCATTTTTATTGAGGACTACGTGCCAGACAGTCTGCAAAGCATGTGACCTGCATTTCCTCACTGGGTACTCACCGCAATCAAGGTAGGTATTACTGATCCCATTTTAGAGATAGGGTGACTGAGGCTTAGACAGATTAAATAATTTGCCCAAAAGCCCACAGCTAGGAAGGGAGGCGGTGACAACATCTGAACCCAGGCCTGCCTGACTCCAAAGCATATATTCTTGTACATTATGATATGCTCTGTCTTACAAATATCTCCATGTCCCCCGCAGTGTCTAGCCATATGGCAGAAATTCAACAACGTCCGATGAACAACCAGCTGGCTAATAGGGCATGAAGATGCCGGAGCAGCAACCCCCACAGGAAAGGTGATTGGGTTCCACTAAGGAGGACCTCCTGCTTGGGCAGATCTGGGGAGTCCTGCCGTGCCCTGCCCTGCCCTGCCGTCATCTCATTCCCTGCTGAGGATGGGAAGAGGAAGGGCAGGCCCTGGAAACAGAACCAGGTGATACCTTTGTTCTGTATCTTGATGGGCTCTCTACAAGTGCCATCTGAAGCAAGTCACTTCGACTCTCTAAGCCTTATTTTATTCGTCTCAAAAATGGAAATGACAATCATCTGCATAAGTCATACGGCTTCCTGGGACTTAATGGGATCATGGATATGAAATGCTTTATAAACTGTAAAATGTGAGGCTTTGTGCTTAATTACAGGTGAGCACGCACATGCTCACACAGCCTCATCTATAGGCGCCCATGGATTCATTCACACTCACAGGCTCTTACTCCAAAGACAAATTAGCATCACGATGTAGCCCCCTTGAAGTCCCATGCTGGGACCTCCCTGTGCCCTCCCTCCTCCCTTTGCCATTACCCACTTAGACTGAGTGGGTTCGGGAAGATTGAGGAGGGGCTGAAGAGTTTCAAGGAGAAGCAGGTGGGTCTGGAACACAGACTGCTCTACCCACACCTGCCGCTCTCTTTGCTGTTTGCGTTTGCATTTCCTTGACACACAGGCACCTGGGAACCGCAGTGGTAGGCTGCCCCCTCGGAGAGTGCTCCACAGAGCAGAACTAACTCTGCATGGCAGGTTCAAACTCAGCAGCTTCTTTTGGGTGCCTACAATACATTCATTCATTCTCCCATTCAACAAAATTTATTGAGCACCTACTATATAGGCACAGAACTGCACTTCATGCTGAGAATCCAAAGACAAGGTAGTCAGTTCCTGTCTTTGAAGCTCACAAAGGCAGACACAGGAGCCGAGGCAATTCGGGTGGAACAGCAGGCACGTCCCGAATGGCAAGAGGCTCCACAGGCTATGGAGTAGATGGGCTAAGCACAGCCAGATGATGAGACTGAAGATGTCAAACCCAGGGCCCCAATCCCAAAAAGCCTTCATGCCACACCCACGAGATTGGACTTTCATCCTCTGAGCCACTGAAGGAGATTGGGGAAGAGTGAGGCAGGAGCTAAGTGGATTTTCTCTCCTTTTTTATGTAACTTTTCCCCTGTTACTATATTCCTCTCCAAAACTGATAGTAGTTACATAAATGTGCTAAAGCAGTGAAATAATATAAAGTTTGATAAAGAAAACTTTTATAATTTCTCCCACCCCACTTCTAATTGCCCCGGTATCCTCTATACCAGTGGTTCTCAAAGCGCGTTCCCTGGAAGAGCAGTGTCGGCATCCTCCCGGAACTGGTTAGAAAGGCAAGTTCTTATGCCTCACTCCAGACTATTAAATAAGAAACCCTGGGGTGTGCCCAGCAATCTGCTACTGTCCTTCAGGTGATTCTGACGCTTATGAAAGCTTGAGAACCGCTGTCCCAGACCACCCCAGGTACCCAATCATTTCTCAGGCAAATATGGACATGTAGAAATATATGCCATTTTTAAACTAGTAGCTTCTAAGAAAAAGACATCATACCCTTTATTAAGCAATCTGCTTATCTCATGTCATTATATTGCTTCTAGTCAATAGACACAGAAATAACTCATTTTTTTAAATGTATGTATAATTTCCCAGCTTACAGTTGTAGTAACATTTATTCAAACATTTACTGTTGGATATCAAGGTTATTTACAATTATGTCAACACCTAAAATAATGCTACAATAACTCACATAACTCATGCAGTCTTAGATACTGGTGCTTTTATTTCTATAGGATAGACTGCCCCCCAAAAAAGTAGGACTGCTGAATCAAAGGTTATGGTGTTTTTAATGTTAGTAGATTGCCATCTTACTTTCCCCTAACATTGTAGGAACATACAGTCCCATCAGCAAAACAGAAGATGCCTGTTTCATCACATCCTCACCAACTCTTGATCTTGTAGCTCTTTGCATCCACATTTTAGAAAGATCATTAGAGCAATTCAGTGAAAAACAGATGTGATCCAATGGAGGAGCAGTACCGTTGGAGGCCAAGAGACCAGTTAGAGGACTATTGGATAAGCCCAGGTGAGCAATGATGAAGGCCTAGATTAAGAAAGTAGCCGAGGGGATGGAGAGGAGGGGTCAGATCACTTCTACTACTTGATTTATTTCATCTACCTAATAATCTGCTTTACAGACGAGGAACCAGGAGAGTTTGTTGTGGAGATCTTGTGACTTGCCTACATGTCCTAGGATTGCAGATCATTTTTTAACCCATCTCAGGGAATCCATCCTACTCCAACTCCCTGAGTAGCACATGACTCTGCTTTTCCAGCCACAGACGATTGATGAGGGGCAGGCACGGGACCTAAGAGTAACTGATCCATAGAGAGGCTAGTGAACTATGCTCTTGGAGGCTGAGGAGGAAGATCAGGTTGTTTCTGGGTTTTGAGCAAAAACATTTAGAGGAAAATTGCCATTAGTCGTTGTATTCATCTGTTCTCACACTGCTAATAAAGACATACCCAAGACTATATAATTACAGTATTGTAATGATAAAGGAAAGAAGTTTAATTGACTCACAGTTCCACATGGGTGGGGAGGCCTCACAATTATGATGGAAGGCAAGGAGGAACAAGTCACATCTTATACGGTGGCAGGCAAGAGTGAGCTTCGGCAGGGGAACTCCCATTTATAAAACCATCAGATCTCATGACACTCACTACCATGAAAAGAGAGTGGGGTTGGGAGGCCGAGGCAGGTGGATCACGAGGTCAAGAGAACGAGACCATCCTGGTCAACATGGTGAAACCCCGTCTCTACTAAAAATACAAAAAATTAGCTGGGCATGGTGGTGCGTACCTGTAATCCCAGCTACTCAGGAGGCTGAGGCAGGAGAATTGCCTGAACCCAGAAAGCAGAGGTTGCGGTGAGCCAAGATCATGCCATTGCACTCCAGCCTGGGTAACAAGAGCGAAACTCCGTCTCCAAAAAAAAAAAAAAAAAAAGAGGGTGGGGAAACCCCCATGATTTGATTATCTCCAGGTGGCCCACCCTTGAAACATGGGGATTATTACACAACTCAAGGTGAGAGTCGGGTCGGGACACAGCCAAGCCATACCAGTGGTAGTGGATGGTAAAACAGAAAGTTTGTGCCAAGACAGGGCTAAGGATGATGTGGTCACAAGTGAGCTGACATTATTAGGAGAGTAGAAATAATAAGTTAGCAATGTAAGCTGACGGAATGGAGACAGAACAGAGCAGATACAGAGAAAAAGGCCAAAATGCTGAGAGAGGAAACCCAGGCTGCCCAAGGGAGGGAGAGAAGCCGTTCCCAGGGGCTCCTGTGAAACCAGACTCACCTTCACTTGTCTCCCACAAAGGCTCGCAGCGCCACAGCCCCGCACACCAACGAGACTCCACATCCTTGACGGCCCGGCCCCTCCCCTCCCCTCCCCTCCCCTCCCCTCCCCTCACACACACCGGGACATCCTTTTAGGGGTCTTTGCTCCTTACAACAAACAGCTGTGGTAAGAACAACAGGGCTACAGAGTTCATGAGTATTAGAGTTCAGATTTACCAAATCTAAAGTTCTTTTGACACAAGTTACCCAAAGAAAAAAATAGTACCTTGGTATATCATTTACAAAGTGCTTTTTATCTACATTATTTATTTTAATCTTTTCCCCACGAGGAAACAGAAAGTCAGAAACATTAAATAATTTCTGTAAGAGAACATGGTTAATAAATGGGGTGGTGGGGGGAATACTTGAATCCTGGTCATCTGATTCCAGACCTGCCTGCGTCCCACTCCACCATGTGAGATGTGACCAGGGTCACAGGCCTGCTGCTCTCCTCCACTCCACTCCCCACCTGTGTCCGCTTTATCCCATGGGTGTGGTTCAAAGACCCCCTGCTCTGTGCTTCAGCTGGGGGATGAGAGTTCCAGTCACATGAGATTTTTTTTTTTTTATTTTGAGATGGAGTCTTGCTCTGTCACCTAGGCGGAAGTGCAGTGGCACAATCTCTGCTCACTGCAACCTCTGCCTCCCAGGTTCAAGCGATTCTCCTGCCTCAGCCTCCTGAGTAACTAGAATTACAGGCACAGGCCACTACGCCTGGTGAATCTTTTGTTTTTAGTAGAGATAGGGTTTCACCATGTTGGCCAAGCTGCTTTCGAACTCCTGACCTCAAGCAATCCACCCACCTCAGCCTCTCAAAGTGCTGGTATTATAAGCATGAGCCACCATGCCCAGCTCCAGTTCACATAAGATTTTGACAGATCCAAACGTCCAATTCACAACCCGTACCTGGAGCCTGCATGTGCTCTGAGGGGGTCAGAGAGACACCCCCACCACTCGAGGGCATCCCCCCTAAGTGTGTGACTCAAGGACTAAAGTCTCCATACCTTTCTGTTAAGGCTTTTCCTCAATTAGAGCTCTGTAAAAACACATCTATTTTCACTTTGGAGTGAGTCATTAGCTTCCACTAAGACAGGAGCATGAATAGGTTTAAAAACTAAAAATAACTAACATTTATTGAAAGTTTATTATGCTTCAGGCATTGTGCTAAATTCTTTACATAAATTCATTTAAAGCTACCAATAACCCTATGAGGTAAGTATTATTATCCTCACTTCTCAGATAAGGAAACTGAAGCTAAGAGAGGTTAATTAACTTGCTTGAGATACAGGGCTCATACGCAGTGGAACCCGGATTGAAACCTGGGCAGTGCACCTTCCCTAAGCCTGTCAGATTAGCGGGATCTTCTTACAGTGTGAGCCCTAAGGAAATGAATCACGACAGAGAAAATCTGTGGGTGAGCAGCGAGCGTTGAGGGTGGGGACACCCACAGTGTCTGGATCTCCTCAGGAGATAAGACACGGGCCAGGGTGTTAGGGGGTCCTAAGCATCTGGGGACAGGTCAAGGGCACTGGGTGACCAGCTTGGAGAGGCAGAGCAGAAAGAGGTATGAGATTCTACAAGGAGGAGAAAAAGGAAGAAATGGGTCCGAGGAGTCAGAAACAACCCTTCCCAATACACTGTTAGCTGGGGGCCAATTGCCATTCCTCTCAGCTGTCAGTCACTCTAAGGCTGCATCAGGACGGATCTAAAAGACAATCAGATACCATAGCCCCAGCAAAGCCCAGGGGCAAGACATCCCACCTGGCCCCCACCAACCAGTCCCTTCCCAGGGAAACACAGCTGTAGGATACCTGGTCTTCCTTCCCTGGGACTTTTCCAGCATGGCACTTCTCCTGGCTCAGGGATCAGGAGACCCTGGCTCTTGACTGTAATCTACCACCCATTTGACCATATAGCCCTGTGGAAGTCAGTTTTGCTCTCTGGTCTTGAGATGCCCCTTCTGGAAAATGAATGCATTTAGTGACGCTGTGATAATAGTCCATCCAGTTTCAAATGCCCTGAAGAGGGAGAAGATCCTTGGCTCCGGAGCCAGGAGGACCTAGGTTCAAGTCCAACTTTGTCAGTCACAAGCTGCATAACTTTGGGTGAGTTACAGACTGGCTTAGCACCTCACTTTCCTCTACCATGCAATGGGATAAACTGATCTGCCTGTACCCTATGCTTACTTAGAGTGATGAGAACGCGCTATGAAAACACTGCGAGATCAGTAAAGTTCTCTGGACACACAACCTGGACTCAACCTGTGATTTCCTCCTCCCCCAGCCTCGCCTGAAGTCATGTGTGCCAGGATCTTATACCCCAGCTCCAAAGGGGGCAGAATCCAGAGGAATGGGATGGAGCCAGTGTCACCCTGTCCCAGGCTGAGGTCCACTCAGAACTTCACCCAAGGCAGGTGTATTCCTAACACAAGAGGTAGCTGACCTTTGCCACAATTCCCAGAGGACCCTTCCCCTCTCCTCATCCCAGTGTCACCTCTGGAAGTCCGATCTGGTCCGTGGGCTGCAGTCACCTCCCAGTTGAACTCGGGGCCACGCGGGGTTGCCACGGGAGGTGCCCGGCCCCATCTGTTCTGGAAAACAGAAAGAGCACACTGCACAACCGCATCTCACAGTCCATTTTTCAAAGTTTGACGTAAATTTGCAGCCTTAGATTGGTTTTTGTTTCTCCGTACTTTGTTTTCTTTTTAGTGATGAATGGTTATTGTCAAGCTGGCTTAGAAGAAGCGATAGGCAGAAGGTGGGGGCTGGGGTGGAGATGGCGCAGTGGTGGGTTTCATGGTTGGGTTATTGTTTACATTTCTTTTTTAGGGAAGAAAATGGAGTGGGAGGTACCTGAGGTCACAGCTGGGTCACATGAGATGGATACCAGGGTCATGTTGTAGCTGTCTTTCCCCTTCTTCCAGGCTGGGAGACGCTGAGACCTCTGCCCCTTTCTGTCCCCACAAGTACATGCTGGTCTGGGAGACAGGCGGCATGTCACGGCTGCGGCGGCTGATGCTGTCAACTGCAGATAAATACAACCAAAACAGACCAGAAAATTATTTCCTCTTAATGGAAAAATTATCAGGCCCTGAGCAGCCTGATCTAAGGGCTTTTAGAAGTGTACAGAGAAATATACTTGGGCCTTCTCTCAGCCCTCTCCTCCCCACTTCCCCTAGCGGGAGGGCTCTGCGGACACCTCCTTCTCCCAGACTTCTCTGCTAGGGCAGGGCATGCACCACTGGCTTGAAGACAACCGCATCTCAAAGATCTTGGATTAGGATCATGAAGACAGGCTTTCTTAGAGCCTTCAGAGGTGTGAATTTAAAAGGACATTGGAAATCTTCCTGTCCATCTCTTTCATGTCCCAGATAATTAAATTGAGGCCCAGAGAGAAGTGACTTGCCAAAGGCCACTTAGCAGCTGGATAAGAAATGACGGGTTTTTTTTATTCCCAGTTCCCTTTTCATTATCTAAAACAGCCTGGCCAATCCTAGAAGCTCTGTGAAGGCTCTGACACCACTCAATCCAACAAACATAGGCCTACAGGGGCCCACCACACTTGTTTTTAGGCAGGTAGTTGTCTAAGTAGAGATGGTACGGGGGGTACATTACATGATTTTTCCATAGTTCTTCCTTCCTTCTTACCCTGCCATGGCTCCCAGTATGCAGAGGAAACATCTCCACCCTATTGACTCTGGGCTTGTCACCTGCTTTGATTAATGCAGTGTAAGTGGATGCACCGTGAGCAGAAGCTTCAATGTGCTTGTGTGGCTTGGCTGGGTGGTGTGTGCTTCTGAAGTCTGCTATGAGGCTCCTGACCTCAGAATCAGCAGCACATGGAGCAGATTTGTATACGATTCCCGACCTAAAGCAGAGCAGCCACCCCAGTCAACACAGAAATCTCTGAATGAGAAATACAAATGCTGCTGGAAGTCTTAGTTTTGCATCAGTGTTGAAACCGAAATATAAATAATACAATACTCCAACCCTCCCCCTTGAGGCAGGGTCTGCCTTGATTTCTTCTTCTAGGTCGTTGGGATCTCCTTGGGGTTACAGAAGAAGAGGAAAGAAGGATCAAGAGATATTGGTAGGACTAGAAGTGGCCTTACCCTGGAGGAACCTTCACATGCCTTCACTAGAGGGGCTGAGTGTGTTCTACCTGTTTCTTTTTCTCCTAGGTGTCACCATGACAGGATGCTTATTATATCAGTCACAACAGGCTGACTTCTGTCTCAAACAATCCCAAAATCTTAGTGGCTCGATACAGTACATGTTTATTTCTCAATCATGTCATAATCCAGTATGGCGGTGGGGTTGGGAGGAAAGGCTCTGCTCCACACAGTCATTCAGAGCCTGAGGACCCACCTGTCTAATGTCTTTGTCATCCTTTAGATCCTCCACTAGATCCACTCCATCCAGCCAGGTATTGAGCAAAAAGAGATAACCTAGAAGACCTCTTAGGGGATTTTGGCACTCATCCCTTTCACCTATATTGGCCAAAACTCAGCCAAGTGGTCCCATGTACTGGAAAGGGAGGAGTGCAGTGAAGGCAGTCCGTGGGACTGGACTAAGAGGGGAAATGCTGGTGCTGGTGAGCATTTAATCTTTGCCACATAGGCAAAGTATTTCTATCTGTGGCCGCATGTACTTCTATCCATGGTTTCTTTAACCACACTCTCTTCTCTGCCCAGGGCAGGTTACACTATAAATATTCCCTGCGGCTTGCTTCCCATGGGCTCATGGAATTCCTCTAAGTTTCTCCTTCAATTAAAACTGCCTCTCTTCTAGTCTTTTCAGTTCCCACTGTCTGAAATCCAAATTCCTCCTCTGTGCCTAGACTCTTCAAAGCAACCTGTCATACAGCCTGCCTGACTCTGGTCTGGTTTCCCCCTGGGGAGATTTCTTATTGGATCCACCCAGTTTCACCTCCTTCCCCAGGCACTATAGTTACTCCTAATCTTAGCTAGTCTTCTGAGATGCCATACTCTGGCCATGCCAAGGAGAAAAACTTGCATTTTATC